ACCAGCATGCATTCTCATTCCCACGGTCAGTTACCATAAGAACCACCATACATTCCCATTGCTACAGTAGGTTACCATGGCAACCATCATACATTAGGATTGCTATGGTCAGTTACCATGGAAACCATCATACAGTCACGTTGCTATGATTGTTTACCATGGCAACTAACATACATTCTCATTGCTACGGTCAGTTCCCATGGCAAACATCATACATTCCCGTTGCTACAGTCAGTTACCATGGTAACCAACATACTTCCCACTGGTACAGTCCGTTACCATGGCAACCACAAAACATTGTCATTTCTATGGTCAGTTACTGTGGCAACCATCATACATTCCTGTTGCTACAGTCAGTTACCATGGCAAACGTCATACTTCCAGTTGCTACAGTCAGTTTACCATGGCAACCATGACACATTTCCATTGCTACGGTCAGTTACCGTGGCAATCATCATACTTCCCACTGCTATGGTCAGTTACCATGGTAACCATCATACTTCCCACTGCTACGGCCGTTTACCATTGTAACCAGCATACATTCCCGCTTCTGTGGTCAGTTACTATGACAACCATTATACATTCAAATTGCTACGGTCAGTTACCATGGCAACCATCATATTTCCCTTTCGTACAGTCAGCTACCATGGCAACCATCACACATTTCCATTGCTACGGTCATTTACCACAGCAAACATCAATTATTCCTGTTGCTACAGTCACCATGGCAAACATCACATATTTCCATTGTAACGGTTTGTTACCATGGCACCATCACAGATTCGCATTGCTATGCTCGGTTACCATGGCAACCATCATAAAGTCACATTCCTATGGTCAGTTACCATGGTAACCGGAATACATGCCTGTTGTTACAGTCAGTTACCATGGCAACCGGAATACATTCCCAGTGCTATGGTCGGTTACCATGGCAACCATCATGAAATCACATTCCTATGGTCAGTTACCATGGCAACCGGAATACATGCCTGTTGTTACAGTCAGTTACCATGGCAACTGCAATACATTCCCAGTGCTATGGTCGGTTACCATGGCAACCAGCATAGATTTCTGTTGTTACAGTCAGTTACCATGGCAACCATCAGACATTTCCATTGCTATGGGCAGTTATCATGGCAACCAACATACATGCCTGTTGCTATGGTGGGTTACCATGGCAACCAGCATACATTCCCATTACTACAGTCAGTTTCTATGGGAACCTCTTGGTTCCTCTTGAACAGAAGCAGATGCAGATGAGCCTCCCTCTTGTCCACCAACCTTTAGAGCAGCTGTGCTCTAAAGGCCTGTGTGCCAAGGGGTGTCTTGACCAAGACTCTGCAGAAACCTCTGGGACTCTTTGCATCCTGTCGTGGTGCCTTTCCGGTGAATTCCAGGGTTATCAAAGACAACTGGAATGGGATCTTTGTCTCACTCCACAAGGTCAACCAAGCCAGTCTCTTCTCTGACCCTCACCCACAAAAGTTCACCCAATTTCTTCATCCCCTAGAGCAGCTCCACAGGTCCCAGAAGCTCCTTCCCGCTGAGGACACCTCTCTCCTGCTCTTTCTCTCCTGTGTCTCCTTGGCCTTCTCTCCCAACCCATCACAGCCCTGCAACCTGGGAACTGTCTCAGCAGGCCTGGGCTGTTATTGCCTGCAAGTGGAATGAAGAGGGACTTGGGGCTGCAGCTCCTCCTGCCTGTGCCCCACACGCAGGGCATTGGGGCCTGTCTGGCTGCAGCCCCTCAGCGGGGGCACCGGGGTAAGAACAGACTTGCAGTGGGGAAAGCTGCTCTGAAAGCCCCGAGAGCTGGGCTGTGCAGAGGCTTTGCTGACAATGGCCTGGGGGGTGGACGTGCTGGGACTCAGGCCCAGGGGGAAAATCCCAGGCCTGATCCCTGAGGAGATCAGCACATGCTGCTGAAATGCTGGGGGAGAGAAGAGCCAGCAGAGGGAGGGAACAAGTGTGGACAGCCTGGGCTGATGTGCTTTGGACTCGTGCCTGGCCCGGCCTTGGCCGGGCAGAGAAGGGACAGCCTTTGTGTCCCTGCAGGGCTGGGATTCACTCCCTGCCCCAAAGGCCCCCAATGTGTCTGAGGAGCTCTGGGTGGTGCCTGTCACACAACTGCTGGGAATGGGGATGGGGTTCCTGCACAGGCCCTGTGCTGTCCATGGCAGCTGCTGCACTTGTGCTGCAGAGCCCTGGCACCTCCCCTGGCACTACAGGCCCCTCTTTGGCTGTTCAATCCAGGCTCAGCTGCCCCGAATTAGGTTTAGCAGTGAAGGGATGTCCAGGAGACAATGGCCATTGTGCTCTGAGGACATGTAGAAAATACCTCTGATAAAGAACAGGAGAGAGACCTCTCTCCCTGTGCCACCTGACTCCATTTGGTCACCTGAGCACCTCTAGGGGCTGCCCTGGACAGAAGGAACAGTGACAGGTTCCCCTGTCCTACGTGTGGGCACCTTCTGTCACTGAAGTTGGCCAAAGCAATGTCCCAGCAGCCTCCAAGAAGATCCCACAGCTGCTGCCCTGTCCCTAGGAACTGCTCCATTGGAGCCTGCAGTTCCCAGCAGGAATCTCGGTCACCTCTGGCCCCTCAGAAGGAACCAGGGGTTTGTGTCCCAGCAGGTCACTCCTGGCTTTGGTCTTCATTCATTGCCATGGGAGCTGGGACAAGGAGTCACCTGCAGGGGCCTGTTTTGGGCCCACTGAAGTGGGGCAGGAGGAATCCCAGCCCATGGGGGTTGTGGAGGGAGCTGAGTGTCCTTCTGGCCCCAGGTCTGCAGAGCCACAAGGAGAAACCTCTGTTGACTCAGCTGAGTCCCTTCCCTCAGTGCAGGTGAAGGAGATCCCTCCTGGGCACTGTCTGGGTTTCCTGTCTAATGATGGGACATGAAAAGGGGACTCTTGGACTTAACTCTGTGTCTGTTTGGTAAAATGACAGTGCTGAAAGAAGTGTCTGTGCCCAGCTGAGAGAAGGCACATCATTATTTCCTTCAGCTGTGTGCCAGCAGGTTCCCCTGGAGCCCCAGGGACAGCTGGAGGGAGCCCAGAGGGGCAGAGAAAGGGCTGCCAGGAGCTGCTGCTGTGCTGCTGAGCTGGGCCGGGCTCCTGGCACACAGGGAGCTCCTGGCAAGCAAGAAGAGCTTCAAAGAGACAGCTCTGCTGGTGAGCAGCTCCTCTGCACAGCCCAGCGGGGCTGAGGGCACTGCCTGCAGCACCCAGGGCACAGGAGAGAAGGCAGAGAGATGAGAGGCAGCCTGGGCTGGGAGGTGACTGAGCTCTCACTTATGGGAGAAACCTTCTCAGGATTTCAACGAAGAATTCTCTGGCTGTAGGAAAGTTCAACTTGCCTGGCTGTAGGAAAGTTCAACAAGCTGGCACATCCCACAGCTTCTAGGATCTTTCAGCAGGACTCTCCCAGTTGCTGCAGAGCAGGGGAAGTGGCCATATGGCAGAGCAGGGCAGGAGCTGCAGGCAGCAAGGGCAGAGAGGAGAAGGGAGCAGGAGGTTCAAGGGATCCTGGGCTGGGAGGACAGGGCAGAGCTGCTCAGGGCAGGAACCTTGCCAGCCCTTTGCCACGGTCAGGTTGTGGCTGCAGAGCAGTGCAGGTGAGTTCCTGCAAGTGCCTCTCCCAGCTGCCAAATGGCAGCAGTGGCAGGAGCTGTCAGGATGGCTCTGCTGGATTTGCTGGGGTGCAGCAGGAGAAGCTGCTGCAGAGCAGGACTTGCTGCTGCCCCCTCAGAGGCCCAGGGCCAGAAGGTTCCCTGTGCCAGGGCTGGCTGTGGGGTGGGAAGGTGGGGGTGCAGCCAGGGGTGCCCAGGGCTGTGGGGCAGAGCAGGGTCCTGCCCCCAGGGCTCTGTGTGCTGGGGCAGGGACTCTGCTGCCTGCCAGGAGCAGCTCTCAGCCCGGCCAAGGAGCTGCCATGGGGCTGGGGGAGAAGGGCTGTGGAGAAGGAACAACTCCTGGGAGGGCAGAGCAGGGCAGAGTCCTTCTGATCTCCAAAGTGGGCTGCAGGGATGAGGGCTGGTCACAGCTCCAGATCAAAGCAGGAAATTTCCCAGAAGGTATTTGCAAGAGGCACAGACAGGGGGTACCTTCAAGAGAATGAACCAGTTCTTTCAGTGTTATACTCTGGATTGTCTGGGTGCTGACTGTGACAGAGAAAAATAATCTCTGAGCACAGGAGGAGACACTGAAACTTGAACTCTGTTAGATTAGAGGAGATTGAACCTGAGAGTGTCAGACATTAAAACTGCCTTATAGACAGCATCAGTGTCACTTTTTCAGCCCTGGGCCCAGGGAAGCAGCTGCTGGCAGGGACAGCTCCAGGCAGCAGAGCCCTGGACAGGGAGTGGGGGGCAAGAGCCCCCAAAGGTCTTGGGGAGGGGGCATTCAGGCAGCTCTGGAGGCCCTTCCCTGCATCTCTGCTGGGAATTGTGTGCTGGGCCATAGAAATGAGGATTCCTGCAGTGGAAAAGAACTTTCCCAGGTGTGATGGTAGAAATAGAAAACACAGGTACAATTATTCTAACTTCAGACTAAGCTTCTGCTCTGCAGCCCCAGCTCTTCTGATTCAATAAAGTAGAGATGGAACTTTTGTATTCAAGGTCTCTTACATCTGACATTCCCTGTGTGTGTGAGAGCTCTACCAAAAAATTCCATGTCCCCCTGGACCAGAGCAAAACTGACTCCTTGGCAGTGCATTTGGTGACATTTGACACATTGATTTCTTGTAGCAATGGAGTGGCTTTTTCACAGAGGTCTGTCTTAACTGTTCCCTGTCCTTTCATTTTTTGAACAGACCCTGTGCTAAGAAGCAGCAAATGTCCAACAGCAGCTCCATGCCCCAGTTCCTCCTCCTGGCATTCGCAGACAGGCGGGAGCTGCAGCTCCTGCACTTCTGTCTCTTCCTGGCCATCTCCCTGGCTGCCCTCCTGGCCAACGGCCTCATCCTCAGCGCCGTAGCCTGTGACCACCACCTGCACACCCCCATGGGCTTCTTCCTGCTCCACCTCTCCCTCACAGACCTGGGCTGCATCTGCACCACCGTCCCCAAAGCCATGCACAGTTCCCTCCAGAACAACACAACCATCTCCTACAAGGCATGTGCTGCACAGCTCTTTTTCTTTTATTTCTTCATGTCAGCAGAGTTTTTCCTCCTCACCATCATGTGCTACGACCGCTACGTTGCCATCTGCAAACCCCTGCACTACGGGACCCTCCTGGGCAGCAGAGCTTGTGCCCACATGGCAGCAGCTGCCTGGGCCGCTGGGTTTCTCTATTCTCTGCTGCACACAGCCAATACATTTTCCCTGCCCCTGTGCCAGGGCAATGCCCTGGGCCAGTTCTTCTGTGAAATCCCACACATCCTCAAGCTCTCCTGCTCACACTCAGGCTACCTCAGGGAAACTGGGCTCACTGTGGTTATTGCCTGTTTAATGTTTGGTTGTTTTGTTTTCATTGTTTTCTCCTATGTGCAGATCTTCAGGGCTGTGCTGAGGATCCCCTCTCAGCAGGGACGGCACAAAGCCTTTTCCACGTGCCTCCCTCACCTGACCGTGCTCTCCCTGTTTGTCAGCACGTTATTCTTTGCCTACCTGAAGCCCCCCTCCATCTCCTCCCCATCCCTGGATCTGGCCCTGTCAGTTCTGTACTCAGTGGTGCCTCCAGCACTGAACCCCCTCATCTACAGCCTGAGGAACCAGGAGCTCAAGGATGCCATGAGGAAACTCATAACTGGGTGTTTTTCAGAAGCAATAAATTCTCCTTCTTCTGCATGTTATGGACCTCATTAAAGGCCAATCCTGTTATGGACTTCATTAAAGGCCCACCATATCTTCTCTGTTTTTTACTCCTGGTAGGGGTGTTATTTTTGTGACAATTTGTTCACACCAAAAAATCTTTATATCTATAAAGATACGTGCATATATAAAAAAGTATATGTATGTTTATATATATATAATCACCATTTCCAATTCAATGTCTGCCTTTCTAGCCTGGCCCAGAGGCTGTACAAATTGGCAATTGTACTTGCTGTGTGCTTAAACCAAATAAAGAACTCTGCCTTGGCTTGTTTGCCTGACATCTTTCCTCTCTGACTTCTCTGCAGCTGCAGGGTCGGTGCCTCTGTGCAGAGCTGGGCCAGAAAAGAGTCCCAGCAGAGCAGCACTGCCAGGGAGCAGCAGCCCTTCTCCTGCCTGGCCTCCTCTCCCTTCCCTTCCACACTGTCCTGCAGAGCCCTGTGTTGGTGGAGGCCTCAGTGCTCTGGCAGTCGGTCCCAGTCCTGCTGCAGGACTGTCCAGGGACTGCAGGCAGGGACAGCCACGGGCACTGCTGGCACAGAGCTGACCTCTGCAGCAGCACTGCCATCCTGCAGGGGCATCTCCTCAGGCCAGGGCCTCAAAGCTTCCATCTGCTTTCCACTCTGCTCTCCAGGATGTGCCCAACACAACGCCCTGCAGAGGAAACCAGCAGTGACCAGCACAAGGGGGGGAGTGCTCAGGGTGGGGGCACCCAGCAGTGCCCTGGCACAGCCAGCGCCGCTCCCAGCACTGGCCTCTCACCCCAGGCCAGTGGGCTTGTTCTTCCCTCCAAGGAGGGACAGCAAATGACCAGCTCAGGAGTCCATGTTTGCACTGCATGGACAGGACATGCCCATGTGTCACAGCTTGGGGCTGGGGGGTGGAAGGCTTAGACAAAGTTGATGGCAGAAGCCGTCTCCTTGAGCTACGAGGTGCAGAAAGGACCCCCTTGCTTTCTAAAGTCCTTCTCAGAGAGGAGCCTGGGGGTGGCTGGATCCAATCTCAGACTCAGATTTTGGTTTCAATTGAAGGAATTATAGAGGTGTGATTCAATCACTTTGTCCTGCAGGTTTTAGTGATGGCAAATCAGAAATATTTCTATAAAACCAATGATTTATTATGACAAATGAACAAAAAATTGATCAGAAAAGTGAACAGATGAAAGACCTTAAAGAGAATTATTTACTTCAAATTATAAAAGCCAAAAACCCCTAGTAGTATAGTGTAAGA